TACTCCCCACCCGCCGCTTCCTCCGCCGCCGGCATTTTCTTTCTTATTATTGAATGTGAAGTATAAAAATAACTTCTATATTTTCTATTTTTTTTTCTCTCTTATTCCAGGAAGAGCAACCGAGGTTTCAATCTGCGGTACGTCTCCTACTCTCCATTTCATTTTCATTTCTGTTCAGTTCTAGTCCTTTTTGGGGTCAGAGAGAAAAAAGATCATTCTATTACTTTTAATATTGTAGTAAACTTTCCTGTTAACCGCTAAGGTGAGGTGGGACCTTGTTCTGGGGTTCTAGGTTGGAGGGGGTGTTGCAAATCTCATAATTCTAGATTCTCAGGTGATAAGTTCCAGTGGCTCTAGGTGAGAGGAGCTGTATGCCAAGAAATGAATCATTCTGTAGTTTTCAGATGGGGGAATCTAGCTGTCACTATATATGTTGGAAATGAGAAATGCATCATTATGAAGTAAGTTGTAGTATTGTTTCAGGGCAGTGATCAAAAGATTTACTTTGGCACAAGTAGGTTCTAAAGCATATCTGCATAGTTGTGTAAAACTGAAGCCATATGCAGGGATCACCTTTAACCAAAAGTCATGTGACTGCTGTAGACCTGTAGAATGTACATGGTATTATTCTAATGCAGAAATTGGAAATGTAGAGGAGCCAAAGGTTGAATATGAAAGTGTCACATACAGCTTATTGTGGTCTTGACTATATTGGAGTTGAAGGAGCAGTATTAAAGAAAAAGAAAAATTGTTGAAGAAAAGTGGAATTGCAGAGATAGTTTTGCCAAAGGCTGATGGTTGAGACTGTATAGTGTTATCAGTAATTTCTCAGGGTTTTGATATTTATGTTCTCAGGAGATGGTTTTATGGAAATAGATATGAATGTAGATATGGGTATAGATACATACTAATCTCATGTCTTTGGAGACTGGGACAGTACTGTGGGTATTCCATGAATAGAGGAGAAAAACAGACAAATCAGAATCAGAGAGGGGGATAGAAATAAGTATATCACTGCCTAATATTTGACAGCTGGAAACAGCAGAAGTGTATAGAATGGGGGTCAAAACTATAGATGCCTCTGGGGGCCCCAGGCAATAAAATAGTCAGGTACAAAGTAGAGAGCAGAGGTGAGGACTGGGGTACTAGAGAACAAATGCCTCTGCTAAAAGTCAGCCGCTAAACTCATTGGGTTGTTATGTGGGAAGGAGGGCTCAGTGTTGCCGGATTTTCCTATTTTTAAAGAAAGATTAAAAATCTTTTTTTTTAATGTTATTTTTCTGATTTTTAAAATCATGTGTGTAGGGGACAATCCATTCGTTTTGGGGGCTCGTTAGAATTTGTAGTATGTCCCTTTGATACCTCTGGTCAAAGAATTTAATTACCACAGGGTAAAAGCAAGCCCTCTTACTTATACCTGCATTAGAGCAAGCAAAGATTCCGTTTGTACAAGCAAATAGGCATTAAGAAAAATTTTATTTATTGAGAACTAATATTTCCATAAAATCTCAAGATGCAGTTATTCCAGGGGCCTTAAAAATTATCCCTGGCTAATATTCACTAAAAATGAATTTGTTTTATTTCTCCTTGAAGTGTTGTCAGATACTTAATGTTTATACATATATTTGAAAATTCCATTCCCTTTTCTTTTTTCCACGAACTATTAACCTTAATAATGTGAATGTGTAGTTTCATGTTTGGGACCCAATCTGTTTAAAACATTTCTTTTTCCAAGTCTTCAGTTCTAAAGTCTGCCCCAGAGCTTGATCAGGGTTGGAGAATAGGGATTGGTTAGGCATCCTTTGCAGAATCATTATTTGAATTGGAATTACATTGGCTTTCCAGTGAGAGAAAAGTTTTCTTTGTGAAATTTTGGCTTGAATTTGAAAAGCTTTCTGCTTTTCAAAATATTCATCCACATGGGTGTTGATGCTTTATTAAATTATTAAAATGTTTCCACTCTCCCCAGAATGCTAATCTCATTGTTTTGTCTAGATATTTTTAGTTTGGTGTTAAGGTGCCTAGGGTTTTTCTCTTTGATTTTGGTGGGTGGGCAGAGGGTTTGACTTTTTTTTTTAATTTGACACATCTACTTGCTGAGACTTAAATATTATCTGGCACGGGATTATCACAAGAGCATAGAGAGAAGAAGCAGTAGACAAATTTTACATCAGACAGTAATCATGTAGGGTAAAAAGGATTTCAGTATTTTTCTCTGAATACATGTTTAGTTCCTGACATTTAGTATACATAATAAATGCCTAGCTCAGAAGAGGATGCTAACTGAATAACCACATATTTAGGACTAAAAAAGAACTTTTAAAAAGTTATTTGGAAAAGGTTCTGCTGGCTCCTCATATGAAAAGAAACATTCATGTTTTGTAACGTCACTACAGTAGCTACGGCCTTATTGCATGAGAAATGTAGTATACTTCACCAGAAAAGTTAGGAAGTGAAGCTAACTAACAGAAAGTGAAACTGATTTGACGAATATTTTTTTTCTGTTGCTTCAGCGCAAACGGAAAACAGCTTCTCCAGTGACCAATAAGTTGTGTTAAAGGAAGTAACCCTAAACAATATTTTTATTACTAAATTAAATACATCTCAGAATCCCATTGATGTTATTTTTATTTTTTTGCATTTTAAAGATAATTTTCTGGTATATTTCATGCAAAGTGATCTTTTAATTTTACTTCTGTTTGGGAAATTTCTTTTGGAAAGAACAAAAGTATACTAAAAGTGTGGGGTTAGTATGTTGGTCAGAAAACCCAAGGCCTTTTTCTACTTCTTATTCTCCAGCTGACCATGTTGCAGTTACAGTATACCAGGGGGGAATAAAAACAGATTTGTGTGATTTCACTTCTGGACCTTTCTGGTATGAAATATTGTTAACTTCTCAGAGCTCTTTGCTTCTTTAGGAATTGCAATGTATTCAGAAGGGAATGAGCTTGGTTGCTTTTGAGACTGGAATTTACTCAGGAAACTACTACTATCTGTTTTATCTGGAATTAGTTGCTTGGTAAAGTGCTATACGATGCATATACTTTGTTTCTCCTTAGAGTGTTGACAGTGATACAGAAATGCCAGGTTTGTTTCATAAATATGCCTGTTTGTTAGAATAAAGGGTGTTCTTAACATTTGTCTGTTTCCAAAATGCCAATAATGGTGAAATAGTTGATCAAGGAATCCAACTTGGTTTTCAGTTATTTCAAAAATTTCCTTATCAAGGCATTCTTACTCTCTTAAGTGGCTATAGTACAATGGCATATTTGGATAATAGTGTTCTTAAGTTGTTTTAGGCACCAAATGATTGTTTTAAAAAAATTTTGAAAGCACATATGTTTATTGGATGTTAGAAATGTATAACAGGCTTCAAGCAGGAGAGGTGTTGGGAAGTTGAAATTTATAGCTTCCTATTAAGGACCTTAGTGAGTTTCTCATTCTAGCTGCCCATTACTTCATGTTCCATTTTTCATGTTGATTAAAATGAGTTGCTTAGAAATTCAGTTTTATTTATTCTACCGTCTTTTCCATCATCTATCAGAAGTAATAGATTTTTTTCTGATGAGAATTTTGAGCCTGTGTATTTTCAGTGTTACTGTTTAATAAGAATAGCTTATTAATAATCATAAGCAACACTATCTTCCCTCTAAAAGCAACCTTAAATTTCTTAAAATTAGTAAATGTTTAGTGGGCAACTCTAATTCCCTATATGCTGAGAATTCTTGATATTAGAATGAAGAATACTCCTCTTATAGACTGGGTTAGGTGTGAGGTAGCCTACAAGAAATGTCATTGTTCTGGAGAACCTGTGCATTCTTCAATAATGGAGTATTTATTTTCCCGTGTTATTTGCCTACTAGAACTTGCAGAAAATAAAGCTGCTGACTGATGTAATGCCTTGGATGAAGATGCATTCTCCATGCAATAAGTTGGAAGGAAATAACTTAAAGCGATTCCCCTCAATTTTGAACAGACCTCCTTAGCTTGAATGACCTACCTTCTGCCAGTTTAGCAACTTCTTGGCTAACAAAATAATGTTTGCTTTCAACATTTAACAACACTTAAGATACGCGTGCTTGTTAGTGTCAGAGATGGACAAATTGTAGGTGAAGATTTTTATTCTGGCTGCCAGTATGGAAAGTTTGGTGGAAATAAAGCTGAGAGGCTGAATAAAAACGTTGGCAGAGATGTCAAAGCTGGAAGCGATTTGGTGCTAGAGTTCCTGTTGAGCATCTGTGGGCCACTCTTCAGTATCGCTCAGCCTTTTAGTATTCCTGTTACCTTGGGATGCCCTGAAGGAAGGATTTTCTGGCAGAAACCACAAATCCAGTGTACCCAAAGAGCAGCAGCATCCAGCCATTGCTCCTGTAGGATATAGAAGAGAGGTACCTGTTTGGGGCCTGCTGTACAGCCCGAGAATACCTCTGGTGTCTCCTAGAATTTGTTTGGTACGACCCATTTTCATAATGGGGTATCTTTCTCAGTACAGGTGAGAGAAAGCTGGCTTATCAGAGTTGAGCTTTATTTGTTCAAGACACAATTGTTTGGCCCTCTTTTTTAGTTTAAAAAACAAACAAACTAGTTTTAAGTTTGTGGGAGCATTTCAGATTCCTTACACTGGGATTCTTCACCCAGTTTTTGATTCTCAACTCTGAAGACAGTTAACAAAGCAGTGATAAGCCTGGCAACTGGCCCTCCACTTGGATGAATTGGTTGGGGGTGTCAGGGGTAGCAGTGTTATCTGGCCAGAAGGATCTGTAGTTTGGAAATGTTTCCCAAACAGAATTCTCTACCTTGTGTAAGGGTTTTTCATATGTTCTTTTAAGCCACTAGAGGTGTCACTTAGTTCAGAGTTACCTAGAATTAGGCGTGTTAGTTTTGCTTTAAAAAAAAAATATATATATATATATATATATTTTGCTTGATTTGAGAGAGAGAGAGACATCGATTTGTGGTTCCACTTACTTATGCACTCATTGGTCGATTCTTGAATGTGCCTTGACCGAGGATCGGACCCACAACTTTGGTGTATCAGAACGACACTAACCAACTGAGCTACCCAGCTGCAAGCACCAGTTCTGCATATTTTTAACTTGCTCTTTCAATTGAGGCTGGCGGGGAGAGAAAAATATATCATTGCCATTGTCCCTGAGACCTTTAAACTTGATTCTGTTTAAGTGTAGCAGCTTGGGGATGGATATGGCAGCAGGGATTGGGCTAAGATTCCGCTCTTCTGTTAGTTAAATTGGACCTGGAACCACCACAGAAATTCCATCCACTACTTTGAGAACAACAGTCCCCAGCTCAGGCTTTCTACCAGGCAGTGGACTGCTGCCTTTCCTTGTTGAGCCAACTTCTCAAACTTGGCTGGTTCCCCAGATGAGAAGCCAAGATTTCTGCTGATGGTCCTCAGCCAAGTTCACTTACAATCCTCTAACCGAAAGACTTGTCCATTTGAGTCCTTTCAGGGCTCAGTGAATGGGAAGGGAGTAGTGTATTGTGGGGATGAATTTGGTATTAGATTATACTCAGCTCCACCCCTCTGGTGTAGGCCTGAGCGAAACCAAGTTCACTTGAGTCTAGCCTTTTGAGATCTGCAGGGCTCTCCCAAAAAGAAAACAGACAATTAGAATTTTATTTGTATCAACAAGAGGGATTGTGGGTAACTCTGGTGTCACTGCTTCTGTGCAAAGCTCTTAAGCTGGGAGGAGGGCCAGGAATCAGGGTGATTTAGTAGACCAGAGTATCTTGGGCTGCTGCTGGAGACCAAAGCTGGGCGATTAATTTGCATGTAAATAAGCCAGCTTAGGGAGTATGTAGCAAACACTGGAGAGGCAGATAGATGCCAAATGCCATCTCTCAGCCTTCTAAGCTCTATAGGTATAGTTCAGGTTAGAACTTACCTGTGATTAGAGAGAACAGTAAATTAGAAAAGGGCTAGGTACTTAAATGTGTCTAATTCCCTCAAGCTATTTCATACTGCTATTAGAGGTATCTACAATTTTCTTGTTCTAATGTTGTGTGATACAGTGTACTACCGCTAGCCTCAGGTTACCTCTTTAAGCTTGATCGTTCCTCAGTTCCCCATAAATTTCCTGTATCACTGAAGTTCACCAAACACTCATTTTACAGTGAATTTAGACTTCAGAAAATTAGGAGGGCTTTATAAGTGCTCTAGGCATCTGCCCTGAAAATGAGCACTGTGTTCTAGAGAACCAAGGCTGTGATGGGAACCATTTTTCCAATTTGGCAGAGCTATAGGTGAGGTGTTGTGCTTGAGAGACCAGAAAGTGACTAAAATGACCACAGCTGCTCCCAGCCTCCTCTTCCTCTGTAATGACTCAGACTTTTAGGATTAGATAGTAGAATTTCAAGTCCTTTCATTCTCACAACCCTTGTTTTTATAGATTTTTGTCTGTGCGTCTTGTCTAATACAAGGATTCATTTGAGGCTTGGTTGTGCTAAGTCAAGTTATTTTCCCTTGTTGCTTCATTTTTAAAATTCCTGGCTCTCTGTCTGGGTTGATTGAAGCTACCTGAACTTCCCATATACGGACTCGGTCCTTAGGTTAGCTCAGTGCACCCTCTCGTATTGAGTATAAATTCTCAGTGTATTATTTTCCACAATTCCCAAGGTGTAGATGTAATGTTCTTGCTTAGCTTGAGTAACATTTGTGCTCCATTTGGAGGGAATGCCCCTTTAACGGGGACCTGCTGACACACTCTTGCAGTGCTCTCCAGCGCTGTCTTGTCCTCCTGAAGCCGGTATATTTTGCCGTATCTGATTTGTCGGCAGTCTCCACCCCTCTCCAGCTGATTGTTCTTGTTCTTTGTGACGCTAAGCAAGACAGGATAAAGACTTTGGTTCCTGGGTATTTTAGACACTGTGGAATAAGCATGACCTGCCACAGGTGCCTAAGGATGTTTATTCAGAGCCTGTGCACGTCAAGAGTTGCCATCTAAGAACTACCTTTCAGTCACAGCCTGTGTGAGGGGAATCCCTTGGCAGGATGGCACCTTGGATCCACTTTAAAAAGATAGGATCTCAGAATGCAGTTGGCATCTGTATCAGCTTTGTCAGAATGATCTCAGATTCGTGCATCTGGGTTTTCCAGAGGTTTTAGTTTTAGCGAGCTGGAGACCAGAGCACAATCATGGTCATGGGCTTCACGTGGAAAGAAGCACAGCACCAATGCCCTAACTCCTGTCCTGGGCACCTGCCATGGGGAATCACTGACTTACAGTGGGGGTGATCACACCTTATGAAGGGGCCCACTGGAGCTTTTCCCAGGTGAACCTCCCAATCATGGACTGGTGCCTTTTCTGTCACATAAGTAAATTGTGGGGAAACACTGATGTAGGAGAGTCACACTTTGTCCCCCTGAATAACTTTTATTTTACTTATGCATGAGCTGGATGCATCGAACTACTTTGGATGTTCCTGTCACAGGCTTGCTCACCCCTTTTTCCCCCTTTAGCAGAGCCTAATTCTGGAGACCTAACTGCCCACCTCGACAAATCCTTCCCAGCCCATTCACCAGGGACTGCGCTGACAGCATATACTTCCAGGCTACACCCCACCCACCTGTTCCAAGCAAAAGGAATGACTTTGCCAATGTGCTCTTTCTTCTAGGCTGACAAACGGGCTCATCATAATGCACTGGAACGAAAGCGTAGGGACCACATCAAAGACAGCTTTCACAGTTTGCGGGACTCGGTCCCATCACTCCAAGGAGAGAAGGTGAGTTTATTGAGAAAGCTGGTGGGCCATCACTAGCTTGGAACTTGCTGTGGTGTGGGGCTTAAAAGCACATTTCACCTATCTGGAAAGAAATGGAGTTAGGAATATTCAGGTGATACGGTTTCCTTAATTTTTTATTCTCTGAGGATCATCACACACCTTACCTACCATAGTTTATCCTTAGGAAACAATGTGAGTTGCTGGTAAGACACCAGTAGGAATTGTCTTTTAACTTAGTATTATTTGTAATAAATTACTCATTCAAGAAATTATTAGAATAATACGCTATCGTATAGAGAGTAAGCCCATAGTAGTTTGGGATAACACTAAGGATTCCTGAGGTCAGTGATTCCCTAGACCTCCATGAGAATTTCTTTCATATGGCTCAAAGTTAATACTTATCTTACATGAAACCTCCCAGGAATGTATGTGAACAATCCTGGACACCAGTGATCTCTCTGTTCCAACAGCTGTTATTTCAAAGGCTTATAAAAAGCATTTTAAGCTGTAAGACAAAAAACTTAGGTAAAGAGCTATGTTCATATTAAACGGAAGAAAAAAAATACTGATTTTCTTTCCCTCCTTCCTTCCCCCCACTGGTGGCCTTTCAGAGACTAATGTTTTCTCTGGAGAGGGAGACAGCACCTGTTTCTACATTTGGAAAAGTTGGAAGCTTTGAGTAAAAAGCCTAGGGTTAGGGTCACTCCTTGGGATTTGGAGGAAACATCCATTTGCAGTTAGTTCCATCCTTGACACAGAATGTAGCTGGCCACTCTCTGCTGCAGTTCAGTGGTATAAGTGGCAAACAGGGAAGAGGACCTGTGTTTTTTTTGTTCAGTGATCCAATGTTTAAAGAAGCAGTCGTTAGAAAAAACATTGCTGTCAGGTGTGCTTTGAATGAGTCTCCTGATTTAACTCTGGGGCGGGGGGGGTCCTGGGTTGGTTTGGTTATCCAATCAAATTAGGAACCATTATGGTTTCATTTTGTGTATACTGCCACTCTGGTAAGGCATATACTTTATACCTTCCTTATCTGAGGTGTGGCTCTCTATGTGGCTGAAGCATTGGGTAGGTCTGACCTTTATGAAAACAATAAAACAGGCCATGTGAATACCTAGTTATTGCAAAACCAGAATTTGCCACGGGTTAGGCCTACTTAGTATTGACATGGTTTAATGGTCTTGGACCAAGATTCTTACCTGGAATAACAACATTCCTGGGCATAACACTGTCTAAAGCACCACAGGAAATCTTTCTGATGGGGACAGAGACTCACCCTGTCAGTCAAAGTACTCACGTGCAGCCTGGCCGGGCGTTGGCTCAGTGGTTGAGCATCAACCTAGGATCCAGGAGACTGAGGTTCGATTCCTGGTCAGGGCACATGCCCAGGTTGTGGGTTCGATCCCCAGTTGGGGTTGTGCAGGAGGTAGCCGATCAATGACAACTGTCTCATCATAGATGTTTCTCTCTCTCTCCCTCTCCCTACCTCTCTCTGAAATCAATAAAGATATATTAAAAAAAAAACAAAACAAAAAACAAAGTACTCACGTACAAAGGATTATCTTCTGTGCACATCTGAACTGTTGACAGATAATACTTATTCATACGCCATGGTATCACTTAAAATGGCTTTGATGAACTGAATGGACAAGAACTGCCTTCTCCTTTAAGTCTCACATCTAACCAGGAGTGGTGCCAAGGCAGTGTTTCCCAAGACATGGCCTGTGGACCACCCACATCAGAATCACTACTAAATCTGCCTCTCTGGAGGCAGGCCTGGGGATCTCTAATTATAGCAGGCAGTCAGGTGATTCTTAGGCATTCTTAAGTTTGAGAACACTTTGGGAGAAGCAGGCCATAAGAGCTCAACTATGCTTTTTTTCTTTATCCAGCCTGTTTTACATTGCCGTGACATTCTTCCTTAAGTCCTTAAAATCACATTATCCCAAATCCTGTTGTCTCCTTTCTTCAAGGAAGTTGACAGTTTGAATTTGGTAGCCTTACACACTGAATAGTTTGTCATCCATTGTACCCTATTTATTCATTTGTTCACTCCCTCCATTCAGCAAATATTAAGGGTCTGCTACATGCCAGGCACTGTTCTAGAATACAGCAGTGAACATAAGAGGCAAAAGTAGAAGCTCTTATTCTGGTGAGGAAAAGATAGAAAATAAACTATAATTTTAAAAATATATAGTATGTCAGATAAGTGCTGTGGAGAAAGTTGAACAGGGAAGAAAGGGTCGAAGTTTTCGTTAGGGCAGACAAGAAAACTCACTGCCAAGGCAACACTTGAGCAAAAATTGGAAGGAAGGGAATCATGCATCTACCTGGTGATGCATCACAGGCAGAGGGAAGGCGACTATAATAGCCCAGAGGCCAGAATCTGGGAGCATTCCTGGGCCCAGCAGAGAGAACAGAGGCCAGAGTGGCTAGAGTGGAATAAGGAAAGGGGCAGTGGCAGGAGATGAGGCCAGAGAAGTAGACTAAGGGAGGGGAGTGGCTGAGGGGCCAAGTTTCGTAGAGCCCATCAACAAAGCCCCAGCATGGAAATTTATAGGTGCCTCTCTGATTTCAGAATCCTGCCCTGTGTTTCGATTCATATATTTCACACTGAGCGTGAATAAAGGAACTGGCTGTTAGCTCTGGTTAAACCCCAACCCCTTTCCATCTAAATTCCACAATCTTCATTAATCTCCTTGTCTGCCAGCACTGTTTCACAGATCTACAGGGAGTCTTACAGAATACTTTGGTTTCTCGACTTCCGAGTTCTCACTAAATGTTGCAATTTTTTTTAAATGTGGTATTTTACCCAAAGGAAATTGGCTAATTCTTTATTTGGATTGCAGTAATTAAGGTTATGACATTATGTGAATAATCATGAGATGATTATTTTACCCTGTTTTAGGGATCTTAGGTTCTTGAAAGAAAAGTCTCTGGTCTCCTTTGTGACTTCTCATTTAGTATTTGAACTAGCTGTCGTCATATGTGTCCTAAACTTTTTAAAATTTTTATTTTTTTAAATATATCTTTATTGATTTCAGAGAGAGGAAGGGAGGGGGGAGATAGAGATAGAAATATCAATGATGAGACAGTCATTGATTCATTGATCGGCTGCCTCCTGCACACCCCCTACTGAGGATCGAGCCAGCAGCCCAGGCATGTGCCCTTCCCTAGGGAATCAAACTGCTATCTCCCGGATCATAGGTCGATGCTCAACCCCTGAGCCACACTGGCCAGGCTAAGCCTTTTGTTTTTTAAAAAGAAACCAATACTTATTGAATTGGATCCTTGGGGGATACTTGTATTAAAAAAAAGTTTTACGCATGAGACACAAACTCCATTTACCCTTTGTATCCTGTATTTCTACTATAACATAAACATTATAAAGAATGGTTGGTTACCTTTTGCTTAAGTGAAAAAAATCAGTGATGACTAACATCTGTATTGCAGTGTAGTTAAATCAGCTCAGCAATTCTATGAGGTGAGTATTTTACTACTATTATAATTGCACAATTGCTACTGCTACTTGCCTCTGCCATTATTACTGTATCAGAGGTAAGGCAACTGGCCCAAGATCATTATTCTAGGGGACTAGAAATAGATCATGGACAGAGACTAGAACTCAGGACTGCTGATTGTTAAGGTTTATCTTTTTGCCATATCATAGGGGAAAACAATTTAAGAACCCATGTGCGTCTCAGCTTATCATAGGGTTTCTTCCTGAGAAACCCATCGTAATTTTTCATAAGTCAAAAATGTATTTAATACACTTAACCTGCCAAATGTCATAGGTTAGCCTAGCCTACCGTAAATGTGCTCAGAACACAGTATCCCAAAAATGCTGGCAACACAGTGCACTGTAGAGTATCCATTATTTACCCTTGTGATCATGTGCCTGACTGGGAGCTATGGCTTGCTGCCACTGCCCAGCAGTGTCATGAGAGAGTATCATTCTGCATATCACTAGCCCAGAAAAGATCACTGTGTATCATTTTCACATCATTGCTTAGTTGAAAAATCGTAAGTCAAACTATCGTTAAGTCGGGGACTGTATTTTAAAGAAATTTTACTTAAGTATTTATATCTTGTTTTTATATTGGGAGCTTCCCCTAGATAAAGCCAGTAATCTTGGCAGTATGTCATACTGAGGCTGCTACTAAAATACTCTCCTCTGAATTGGCATCTGTAGGTAACACTGAAGTGCAGAGAGTTGGGGATCATTTAAAGTTTATAAATTTTTTTGAGTCTACATAGCTTCCCTGAGAATTCGACTGTTAAAGTTGGCAGCCCATTTGGGTTTTCCCAGTCTCCAGTGTTAGCAAGTAGACTCTTGAACTCTGTTGTTTTAGTCTTATTTCCCATGTAGTTTTTCAGCTGGACGTTCCACTGGGATAGATGGGATGAAATAAGAACTATTAGCCAGTCAGAGTAAGGGGAGTAAGAGCGAGAACAACTGTGGCTCCATTTTTTATAGGAAGACATTACTTTTCTTGAAGAGAATTCTTTGTTTTTAGGGTCCTAGGTGGGGTACTAGGGAGAGTTGCCCAAAGGCTTGCTGACACAGAGCTCATCCTGTTTGTGTGGGGGGCAAGACCTGGTAGCCAGCCCATCAGTTTGCCTTTACATGGGGATATAATTATGTGTACCACTCCATAAGTTAGCCCCAGCACCTGAACCAGAGTGATTACATCCAGTAACACTGTCTCCTTAGCACAGTTGACTTTAGTGAGAGAAGGTTGTTTCAATAGCTGTATAGCGGTTTATAGAAATTTCTCATCTTTTAAGTCCCTTGCTAAATGCCTGTTTATTATATTTACTCTGCCAGGCAGTTTTGCTCTGGATTTCTGCTTTCTGGATAGAGCTGTGTTAAAAAGGGGGAGCTCTGGCCGGTGGTTGGTTGAGTGTCATCCTGTGCACGGAAAGGTTGAGGTTCAATTCCCGGTTAGGGCACATGCCCAGATTGCAGGTTCAGTCCCCTGCCGGGGTGAAGGTGGGAG